AGGGGAAAGGAAAGAAGGGAAAAGAAAAAATATGAGAAAAGAAAAACCATGGAAACAGTCTTTGAAATAGGGAAGGGAGGGCAGGGGAAGGGGAAAATAATAAGAACCAAGATACTCATGTAATGGTACAAGATCCCAATGATGAATGTAACTGTATTTTATGCCTAAAATGTATCAATAAACTCAATGGGAAAAAAAATACATGTGGTAAATATTTTACATTGTGGAATGATACTGAAATATTGAAGACTCTATTAGTTGTAATTCCTTAATAAAAGTATGTTCATGAAAAATTAAACAAAAATTTTTTAAAAAAGATGTCCAAATAAAGTTATAGAGTTATATCCAAGATATACAGTTAAATACAAAAAGAAATGTACAGAACAGTACATAACATATGCAATTTTTTGTAAAAAATTGCCAGGAAGAATAGGGAACAAGAATACATGTATCTATGTGACTACAAGCATTTATATGTACATGCAAAACAAAACACTGGAAAGATAAACCAGATCCAGAGAAAAGATTGACAAAACCAAAATACAATTTGTGTCTAGAATTGTGCCTATATTTAAACACAGCATATCACTTTGTTGAGAGTAACAGAAAACTATTCAGGTAGAGAACAACTACAGCAAGATTAACAGCTGGTTTCTTACAACAAAGAGTAGACGCCAGGGGCCTGAACAAAATTGCCAATCAAGAATTTTCTTTTCTTTTTTTTTTTTTTTTTGGGTACGAGGGATCGAACTTGGGTCCTTGTGCTTGTAAGACAGGCTGCGGAACCACTGAGCTAAATCCCCGGCCCCAATCAAGAATTTTAAACCCAGTACTTTATCTTTCATAAGTGATGGTGTAATAAAATCATTTCCCCATAAAGAATAAACAAAGACCTGAGAGCAGATCTGCCTTGCAAAATATACTAAAATAAGTATCTCAAGTCATGAGGGATTGCACCCAAAAGTAACTATAATCTATGGGCAGATATAAAAGGGTGTGTATATATGTATTTTTTTCTCTTAATTTTTATTGGTCAGAAAAATGCTGGGCTGGGAATTTAGCTCAGTGGTTCTGCTGCCTGCCTTGCAAGCGCAAGGTCCCAAGTTCAATTCCTGGTAACCCCCCCAAAAAAAAAGAAAGAAAGAAAAATGCCTATTTTTATATTTTTTAAACTCTATGCTATGTCTCCCATCGTTAGGTAATTTAATCTAATAAAGCCTTAGAAAGTAAAGGGCATTTTGAAGGCATCTTAGGGATTTTAGGGCTTTAATAAGAACAAAACTGAGAACACTTCAGAGAGCTACATAGTACAACAACTTGTTATGATGCAGGAATGCTGGTGCATCTGAAGGAGATGGCTTACAGGGCAGTAGCCAATCAGCAGCAAGGAGAACTGAATAATGCTCTCAGACTGGCTACTTGCAAACCTCCCACCAAAAAACCGACTGCAGAAGGTATTTGGGGTTTCCATGAAATTGCAGGGGTTACCACGAACAATTATGTTAAGTCCTAAAGAAAAATCTGCCGAGGACTGAAGCCGAGAACTCTGAACCAAGACTTCATGGGGGTATTCTGTACTGGGGATTGAACCTAAGGTGTTTGGACTGAGCTACATCCCCATTTATTCTTATTTACAGTATGGGGGACTGAACCCAAGGTCTTTACACTGAGTCACAAACCCATCCCTTTAAAAAATTTAGAACTGGGCTGGGGATTTAGCTCAGTGGTTTCGCCACCTGCTGCACAAGCGCAAGGACCCGAGTTCAATCCCCAGTACCAAAAAAAAAAAAAATTTAGAACCAGGCACGGTACTGCATGCCTGTAGTCCACCGGAAGACTGAGGCAGGAAGATAACAGAATTTGATGGCTGGCGCCTGGTTTATATAGTGAGTTCAAGACCAGCCTAAACTACATAGCAAGACCCTCCCTTAAAAAACAAACAAACAAAAAATCAATTTTGAGACAGTGTCTTGTTAAATCAGTAAACTGTCCAGGGTGGGCATGATCTTGCATTCCTCCCGCCTCAGACTCTCAGAGTGCTGAGATTACAGGTATGTGGCACCCAAGCCCAACCAAGTTGAATGTTTTCCAGAACATCTTTAAACTGTTTACTTCTATGGTGTGTGGATTCTATCTTTTTTCAAAATTTTTATTTTATTTCTGAGTTCATCTTCCTAGGCACCTCTGCTATATTTGAAGAGATCAGTGGTCTTTTAGTGATGTGGCTTGAGATTGTATTCAGATACCTCAAGTTAATAAAATTTGACCCCTCTGAGAAATGATCTGTAATAGATTAGAGAATATATTCAAAATTAAGCCAGTTTTTATGTTTGGCTTGACTTATTTTCTGTTGGGTTCTTTAAAGTTGTCCAGTTGGCTAAAGATGTGTAGAGAGGGTATCAAATCTTTTTATGGCTTTCTAATCTCCATGATTTTTCAGTTACATGTTTGGCTAACCCACCATACTTATAAAATGAATCACACCCTCGGATTATCAAAATTGTGGGTTTTCCCTGTTTGTTTCTGCCAAGTTTGATACTTTCAGTTAATGAAAGGGGTTTTTATCAGTTACTCATATTCAATCCATTCTCCTGGACAAAAAAAACTGCTGGGATTTGCAGAAAGTGCAATTCTGTTCTCTTCGTCTATCCCAGAAATATTACAGTGGGATTCCTGCCCTAAACCCGCCTCATTAGAAGGTATTACTGTATTCTGAATGTGTGAAAAACACTCAATCTCCAGACTTTTAAAGCATAAAATTTGAAATCTGAGAAACTAAAGAGAGTGTTCCTCACCAACACCCCTCCACCAACAGTGCCCCAAGGCGAACACAGATTAGTGAAGCAGTGCAGGCAGACACCACTGCCCCTCATCCATTCCTCTCCCCCCAGAGGCTGCAGGCAGGGCCTTTCCAGTCCTTGGTACAGCCCTCCCCAACCTTCACCCTGGGAAGGAGGCTTCAAATTGCACGCATGGTGTTGCACAGTGCTCGTTGTCACTGCTTGGCTTTATTTAAAGGAAACGCAGTAGGCTTTCTCCATAGAGCACTGGCAAGTTGACTCCACAGAGGTCTGTATGTTTGTACTGGTCAGGTATTTCTCATATCTTTTCTAATCAGAATACCATTCCAATCTCTTAACTTGCAGTTGTGTGGAAACTGTTTTGTAAAGAAAGATCTTCACTGGGAGACTGAGCAGCAGTTAATAAAGCCTATGTTTAGAAACTATGTTTCTAGAAAGAAAGTGCAACTCTGGTAAAACTATAAATTTTACCAATCAAGTTGTGGGGAGTACACATATGTTCTAAACCTGGAAAAAGAAGACCACAGACTTCTGCTGCTTTTATCTGAAACTTTATCAGTAAAGAAAAGTACTTCTGGAATTTGCTTTCTTTTCGTTGGTAAGTTCTGGATATATCTGACAAAATTTTCCATTTTTACACTTGTTATTTTTGCCGAAAGGACTTGTCTACCTCTTTATACCAAGAGGAGAAATAGTTTTTCCATCGGTATCTCTTCTAAATACCTTTATTATTAGTACTGTATTATCAGAAAGCTAAGCACACAAGCACAAATGTTCATTTAACTAAAGATTTCATAACAGCTAAAGAGAGGCTTAAGCAGTGAGCCTCCGAGCCCTTATGCCCTTTTAAAAGATAAATACAAAACCAAGTTTAGTAGACAGGATTCAAAGATGAAGCATCGTAGCATGTATAATTCACAAAAATACCATATTTTTGGGGTTACAAATATCAGTAAAATTTTCAAATACTTAACATAGTTAATTACATTAAAAATCTTTGTTGTCATCTCTCACTAATGTAACTTACTCTCTTGCCGGTACCTCTTCCCACTGGAGGATGTGCTTCAGCAGCTTGACGTATTGTACAAACCATTAGCTCTATTAGTGCACTCTCTTGACGGTCAGACATAGCTAAAGCGAAACAAAATATGAGTATAAGTAGGATTATGTTATAATAACTATATACTAAAACAAAAACATAAAAACTGCAGATGTATTTTACTGCTAATTATTATGAAGACTAAAGTTAAGCCCTATATTTTGCTATTTTTCATTTAAAAAAAATATGATACACAAATGTGCATATCATCCTTGCAGAGGTGCCATGCTAATTTTCTCTGAACTGCTCAAATTTTAGTATTTGTGTTGTTGAGGCATGCAGTTCTTTTTAAATAAGTATTAGGTGCTTGCTCTCTTATGCCAATAAGAAAGATAAAGTAAAATCTCTGATATTTCTCAATATGTGGTCTTCTAAAGTCATACTTTTGAGTTAGGTGATACTAAAATTTTACTGTACATCATTTAAAAGCTCACACAGGGCCGGGGATTTAGCTCAGTGGTTCTGCTGCCTGCCTTGTAAGCACAAGGACCCGAGTTCGATACTGAGTACCAAAAAAAGAAAAGCACTTGGGCTGGGGATTTAGCTCAGTGATTCTGCCAGCTGCCTTTCAAGTGTAAGGTTCCGAGTTCGATCTCCGGTACCTGCCCCCACAAAATAAAAGCTCACACAATAGAATTTTTGCTTTTTTAATTAACAAAGCTTCATGCTATGCATTTAAAACAACAGGGAGGGTGTGAAGAGAGGGGGGGAATAGGATAAAATAAAATTTATTTTAAAAAATTAACAGTATATTTTAATACCTTTCAAGTCAATACACACATATGAATGTCCTAAATAATTTATATACTACAATTTGGTCAATCTTCTCCAATGTAGTCAAATTATTTAGAGATTTGCAATGTACCAAAAACTCTGCAATAAGCATCATTAATGTATTTTTATACAACTGATAAAATTTATTTCTGTAGAATACATTTCCAAAGGCAAAATCCCAATAATAAGAAACCGTAAGATTGTCGCAATTCTTTTCCTTTGATTTTTTTTGAGACAGGGTCTCAACTATGTAGTTGAGGCTGTCCTAGAACTTACTATGTAGCCCAAGCTGACCTCAAACTGATGGTGATCCTGCAAAGTGCAGGGATTACAGATGTTCACCACCACATCCAACTATTTATTGCAATTTATACTCTTAACTGCAATGATGCAAATGTTTGGTTCTTTGTATTTCTGTCAGCACTGGATGCTATACACCTCACTAAATGTTTGTCAGCCTATGGCTGTAAAATGGTACTTCACTGTTATTTTCCTCCATCCTGTCTACTAACCAGTGATGTATACTTCTCTTTTTTCTAAAAACTTTCTTTTCTTTGAGATGGTATCTCTTTATCTTCCCCAGGATTGTCTCAAAATCATGGACTCAACTGATTATCCCACTTTAACCTCCTGAGTAGCAGGGAAAGACTACAGGTGCATGCATGCCTTCTAACATTTTTCTGTTTATTCTTTGTCTATTTTGCTACTTTTCTTACCAATGTATAAGAACTCTTTCATGTTTTCATGTTAGGGTAGTAATCTTTGTCTTTTTTTTTTTTTTTATAGAGTCATACTGTGTAGCCTGGCCTGGTCAAGAATTTGGGATCTTCTTGCTTCAGTTTGAGCGTTGGGATTACAGATGTGGGCTCCCACATCAAGCATGAAACCTTTGTCTTTTGAATGACACAAGTATGTTCTCCCTGTTTGACCTTTGTTGTCTGAATTTCCATCATGTCTTCTGTCAGAAACTACAAAATCATGTCTGTTTCCTTTTGTTTTATGGCTGCTTAGTTTCTTATATTGGTTTCAAAGATCTCTCTCTTCTAAAAATTTTAGAGACAGTCTTCATTTTCTATCTCCCTCTTATCTCCTGCTGTAGCTTGCACTCGTCTTTACTCCTTTCATTCTGTTTCTTTTGCCTACTTTTACATCTTTAACTCATTTGCATTTATTTATACTGGCAACAGGATGGGCCTGTTTATTCTCACCAAATAAAGTTATTTCTCTACCACTATTAAATAAACATATTTCCATGTTAAATTTAAACATCAATTTAAAAACACATTTTAGGCTTATACGTTTAGATCTTTATTCTAAGCAGAGTCTTTAATTTTGTTATGACAGTGCCTTACCGTTTTGATTACAGATTACATAATTAGTTAAAATAAAACTATATAATTTGATTAGCTTGAGTAAAAATATTTCCCATATCTAGTCTTTAAAAATTTTTTTTTTGTAATTTGTAGAATGCAAAGTAGTTTAGTTATTATTGATTTGTTCTATCCAAAAACACCCCAAGACATAGGAACTAATATCCTTCTGTTACAGATGGGGAAAAGGAGCCATGGAGAGATTGAAAAAATTTTCAGGATAATTTTCAGGTAATAGTAGAGCCAATATATGAACCTAAGTAAACTAACTATACTCAGTCCTCTTAAACATTGTGTAATACTTTCAAGTTATACTTAAAATTCTATATAAACTTTAATACCTTTTTGCACAGTATCTCCTCTAACCTTTCTTGCCAGAACTCTCAAATCCACTGGTATTGTAAAAATAATTATATATTACATTGGAGAGAACTGACCTTTTTTTATCTTTCCATCTAAGAACATCATATAGTTTTTATTTTGATAGCTTTGTTATATCACTTAACAAAACATTCTTCACATAAATTATGTACTTCCGGAGGGGATTTAGCTCAGTGGTTTCGCTGCCTGCTGCACAAGCACAAGGACCCGAGTTCGATCCCCAGTACCAAAAAAAAAAATTCTCAAAGATAACCTAAAAGAGACAAGGAAGCTAACAAT